AACACTTGCATCCCTAAGATTTATTTCCAACATTGTTTGGAGTGATTGACAATTTACTTGCCATCTGCCATTACAGGAAATTTTTACTTAGGCATAAAGTTCACTTTTGAAACCAGTTACCAGACTCCTTTTTTGGGACAATTTTTTTAAAGGGATGCTTTTAGGACTGTGAGAGTATTCAATCTCTTAAACTTGTAGATACTATGCGCTTAGTCACTGTATAGAATGTATATTTAAATGATTGTTTATTCAAAAATAGGATGTTTGGGAGGGCACTCAGCTTCTTGCTATTGATGTTGCTGCGGCTACAGAACTACTTGCAAAGACTGTTATAAGGCATGATGAACTGACAGAAAAAGAAAAACAAGCACTCAAAAGAACCCTAACTGATCTAGCATCAGTTATCCCAATTGGTTTTCTTATGCTTCTTCCTGTAAGTACTTCATACTTCATCAACTTGTCAATATACTCTAGAACTATTAAAAAATGGAATAATTTATTCTTGTAACATAAAGAGAAAAAGGGATAAGAAAACTAGAGACATTATATTCTAACGGCAAAGACTTCCTTTGCAGGTCACTGCAGTTGGGCATGCTGCCATGTTGGCTGCAATTCAAAGATATGTACCGGCACTTGTATGTATCTCTAGGCGTGATTCGTTTGTTCTAGTGCTTTACTGCATCCACTTGAAACGTGAAAATTCCAGGGAAAGAAAATACAAATGAAAATAGAGAGGAAGGTTGGAATGGAATAAAAATGGAGGGAGATAAAAGGAATTGGTGCAAACACAATAAAGAAATTTTAGAAATCTGTCTGTACTCATTTTTATTAATGTCATTCTATTATATAAAGACTAACAAATCCATGTATAATCTTAAAAAAAATTCTAATCTAGTTCAACTTTCCTTTGTATTATCAAAAGCAAAAGCATGCACAAAATCATTTTCCTTGGAATTTTCTTCCTACCATTTTCAGCATTCCAACCATAGCCTAAGCGTCTTCTTTTCCTCTTCTGTTTCAGATTCCCTCCACATATGGACCAGAGAGACTAGCCCTCCTTAGACAGCTCAAGAAAATGAAAGAAATGGAAGCCGAGGCAACTCCCATTGAAGAAATGGAGTAATACTTTTTCCCTCCCGGATTTACCAAGGTAATTGATTAAATTCATCAAATTGACTTGGTTCTGAATCCCTTCAATAATAGCTCGGCATAAAGAAGTTCATTCCAAGTGTCTGGCACCCCAGGCAGGCACCAATGGCTGCAGTCTTCCGGTGCATCAAGCGGGGTGCCTGGTTCACGGTGGTTTGAAGGGTGGCCATCTTGCCTAAACCCACTTAGATATGTAATATTTAAGTAAGAAACATTCCTTCCCGAGGTTTTCATTTGCTTGACAATGTTTGAGATATAAGTATTGGTCATTGGGTTTTCTCCCGGTCCCACACGATCTGTTTCAGGTGCTGTGTTTGCATGGCAATTGCCGCCTGAGTTCCACTCTCCATTTCTGCAAAAACAAGATAACTTTAACTGATATTGTAACACGATTTCCTTATTTATACAGTGGTCTTGCCTGTAATGGACTGGAGAATAGCTGCGGAAGATGACATGGGTCTCTGAGGACAAATTTCTCATTGCCCAAAATGCCCATGTGTTCAATGATCTACGGAAAGCCTCTGTTGCATTCATAGCCACGTGTACATCTTCGCCTTCCTGGAAATAAATGCCCCTGCAATTCCAGAAATCGTTAGTACATAAAATTTAAAGTATTCTCTCTCACTTGTGTCCTACCCAAGTTCTTGTTTTATACAGTGGAAGAAGTCTCATGTTCCCAAAAAAAAATGTTGCGTTTTCACCCCGGGTATTTCCAGTGTATAACAACACATTATCCATGCACGACGTTGAATACACAGAGTATCACGATATTGTTGTGAGGTCTTGTTTCATGTTTTTCATATTATTTCACTAGTTCACTTATGTTTGGGGGACATCAAGCAGGTTTTATGGATTAAGGTTCTTGTTCTTAATCACTTACATCTTGTGTGTCTTTTCTTCATTCCACCAATGCCCCGCGCTAAACATGAGAACATCTGCCCCAACTAGCTTGCTGAAGTACCAATGGAGGTCGTCAAGTTTTAGAACACCCTTCACTTCCTTAGACACATTTTTCGGGGGTTGACGAACGGGGACTAGAAAAGGAACCCTGTAGTACTCGACCGTGAGGTTAAATTCGTCAAATCTCATGGAGAGATAGCCTTTGTGTTTGGATATTGAGTTTCCGAATTGTTCGCGTATGGTCGATTGGTTTGCCACTCCTTGTGCCAGCATGCATAGCAAAGATTCCCATTGGTTTCTCACAATGGAGTCCCCCACGAATACTATTCGCCCGTTTCGACTTCGACTCAATAGATCACTTGCGTTAAACCTGCGATAACCAACACAATGTATAATAATGTCTTTATGTGGGGGAGAATCTCAAAGTATAGCTCTAACGAATGTAAAGGAGACATCAATGATGTGAGAGTGTGGACATGATATATATATATATACCAATGAATCCAATGATACCATGGTAACTACTGGTATAGTATAAACATTAAAGGGGTCAAGGGGATATTGTCATATATTCATTTTTTGGGATATTGGCAAGAAAGTTATCCCAAATGGGACTTCCAAATAAAAAAAAAATAGATAGATATATAAATTTTGGATGAAATATTAGAAAGTTGGGAAACTTTTCCTTGACTTGAGTGGTAGGAAGACAACTTTCTAATATTTATGGAGAAGTTTGTTCGGGTTCGAGTCTCAGCTGAGATGGAGACATTGACTTATTGTGTGGGGGGAAAAACTATAAACAGATAGTACACTGTAATCGAATCAATACCACTCAAAATATAAAAAAAGTTTGGTGATAATAAATGTAGTATGTGACAATAATCTCCTAAAACCAGTGTGAATGCTCTTGTGCATTATTGCCAAAAGTCAATAAAATGTACCTCAATAAAGGGCTTTAACCGTCCATTTTAATACTCATTATATTTTACCTTTTTTAACCATATTCTTGTTCAATTTCCCTTGGTGCAATGAATGTGGAGAAGGATTACAATTCATCTATAATCGTTTATAGCCATATTCATTCATAATTACTCCATATAGTTATTTCCAAATTAAATTCCCCTTACTAAAGCACCTTAATCTGCAAATAAAGAAAATAATAATACTCCATAATAATAATAATAATAATAATAATAATAGTAATAATAATAATAATAATAATAATAATCATCATCATCATCATAAATCCTAAAAAATTGGTGAATGGGAAAAAAAGATCAATTTTTTTTTGAAGGAGATTGATTGAAATAAGGCAAAAAAGGGGATGGATGCTTTTCTCCCTTGTCAAATACTGTATTAAGAATGCATATTGAAAGACCAAAGAAAAAAAGGTTTATGAAAAAAAAAGAAGAGCATAGTAATAAATTTCATTACATCTTACCTAGGAAGATGACAAGCTTGTGGTTTCCACCTCCATTTTTGGTACTCGGAATCCCGGCGGCCGCTGCGCTGGCATCGGAAACCGGGGTCCAAGAACGGGCAGTTTTCGGTATATTTTTCCCGGGAAAAACCGTCATCCCGGACCCATTCCCCATAAGAGTAATCACAGGATTTGGAGTGTGTTGTAATTGGGGTTTGGCCATTTCCATGCCTGGGAAAGATTTGGTTGAAGAGGGTAAATGTTTGGGGGTGAATGAATATGAGGCAATAAAATGCAAAGGAAGTGAAGGGTATGGAGAGGAATAAAAGTGCATGAAGAATGTTTTTCTTATTGGTTGGGAGAATATTTATTGGGAGTTTGAAAAACAACAAAAACCCCTTTGGTGGATAATCCATTGCAAGAGGTAGGGGGGGGAAAATAAGAGGGGATTTTTGTGGTTTTATTCAAACCATTCTTTAATTTGTGTGTGGCTTTGATTTCTTTCTATATGTTAGTTTCAACAAGTGGTGGGGGGAGAAAGAAAAAAAAAACAAAGTAAAGGGATTTGTTGGCTTGATTCAATTAATTGCTTTTTTTGAATAAAGAAAGTAAAGTGAATCTTGCTTTATTTTCAATGCAGTTTTGAAAATAAAACTCCTCCTTTCCAAAAAAATAATAATAATAATTCGTGTTTGTACACAAAGTACTTTTTTTGGTACATGCACACAAGCTACTTTAATTAGCAGTCGGTTGTTCCAAAAAAAAAAGTTGAAAATACATTTTCATCCATAAAAAGATTATTTTTTAGACGATTTCCAACAATAACAACAACAAAGTCTTAATTGTTTTTCCTAGGGGTGATTGTTATTGATAAAAAATAATATTGGAATATATTTTTTTGACGGTATGGGAATGGGTTAAATGAGTTGAATTTAATAATTCAATCAACAAATGTATTTATAGTTAATGATTTCCAATAATCGTCATAATTTTTTTTTCTTTTGAAACAACCCAATCGTTATAACTTAATTTAGTAAGGATGACTGTTTTTTTGGAAGTACTAAATTTAAATTCTCTCTCTGTTCATAAGTTAAATTCTTAGTTTGAACGTATTGAATTTAAAAAAATTGTTCGCTTTTGAACAACATGCAAAATATAATCTCATTTTTTTGACTTACAATTGGTATAGAAATAAAAACTACATCTAAAATTCTAGGAAATAAATGGTGATATGACTATTTTGTTTAATCAAATGATGATCAAAGAAAATTTTTGTGTATCAAATTTTCTTTTTCTTAAAAAAATTAAAGAAATATGAAGCTTATTTTAGATGAATCAGAGAGAAAAGTGTGAATTTAATCCAAAAACATTGTCTATATTTCAAAATTAAATTAACATTTTTTTATCGGTTTTAAAATAAAATTCACATTTTTTCTCTTTACTTAGCTTTTTAAGAAATAGATATGTCGCTCCCGCATAATATATTTCTTAGTTTCAAATAAATTTATTAGGAATAGTAAATGTATTACGAAATAAATATTATGTTTAATTACTTTCCTTATCACATTGTTTTCCTTATTGTATTGTTACCATAGTTGTTATTTTATTATAATTAAAATTTTTTCATGTAATCGTAATATATAGGGATATATCCCTCATTATTCAATAAAACCAATTATTATGAAATTGTATCAAAATTATTACTCCCTCCGTCCACAAATAAACTTTTCGTTGCACGTTACGATGTTTGACTGAAGTTATTTTCAAATCATTTTATATGAAAAATAGGGTAAAATTTAAAAATAAAAATTACATATTAAAAAAGTATATCAAAAGATATACAAAACTAGATGTGACATGACTATATTATTTTATCAAATGGGTGACAAAAATAGGCCAACAAAGTGAATAAAGTTTGACCATGTGGATAGTGAACGAGAAGTTTATTTGTGGACGAAGGAAATATTACACATTTTAGAGAAAAAACTGTCAAAGTCAAAGTATGAATTTAATTTTGAGAAGGATGATGTATATTATTATTATTACTCGTATTATTTATTGGTTTGCTTTATGAAGGTATGTTTACCTTTTTTGTTTTTCCTTTTCCTTCTTTAGGTAAGGCGTATGGGCGGTAATTCTATCCATAATCATTCTTGATGCATCTCTTTCCTCTCATATATCCTGTTTGGGAATATCGTTAGAGATTAGCGTTATCGTGTTTAAAATAATCGGCGCTTATGTCTAACGCTATTACCAAACATGCCCATAAAGATGTTCTCATTTTGACTTTTAAAAAATTTAAGGGAGAGATAATTTTATGTTTTCAAAAAATATCATTGATGTGATGCGTAACAGTAAGATGTGATGGGTAGATTATCAGTAAAAATATATGATATAATAGGTAGGTTAAGAATTAATAAGGGTAAACGTGCTTTTTAAATAGAAAAGAGAAGGATTTTGTAGGAAAAAAAAAAAGAAAGTGGATATTTTTTTTTCCTGCAATTGTAACATGTAAGTCTGACATTCTTTATTTCTTCAAAACTGTGCTTAGAAAAATATATATACGGAGTAGAAAGAAAGGAAAAATTGAAGACCGTAACATGGGATGTGATTTATTTTATTTTACTTTCCATGATTAAAGGATCTACTCTAGATATATTTGTTTTCCTAATCCCAAACAATCCCACGATTTTAACCTAACTTTTTTTTACCATTGAAGTTGAATATTTTCAAAGAAGTAAAAAAAAAAAACTTTATCTCTAGACTTATTTTATGAATTCTACTCATGTTTTCCCTAAACATTATGATTTTGTTTAATGTAACAAATCGAATTTGTTTTCAATTTAATTTATTTTAATATTGGTGCCGAATTAGTATATTTAAAAGACATATGAAGACCTCTAAAAAACTATAAGAAGAAACTTCAATATTTGGTATAAAAACTAGGAGCGTATTCTTTTCGACTTGAATTTAACTATTTTTTTTAATATGTAGCTTTTAATTTTTGTTAATGTACTAGTTTATAAATAAAATGATTTCAAAAGACGAGAGATCTTGTGTCGTAACCCCTAATTTGTAATTAAATTAAGGATGAAGGGAGTATTTTAGATTTGAAAACACATGTTATACCTTAGTCCTAGTTTATTCTTGTTCAATTAGACTTTCTACAATTATATACGGAGTACATTGGATATATTTTGATTGCCAATTAGATAAATAACACATTAATAAAGAACTATTTCTTTAGATTTATCTTTAAAAAATAAATTTCATTATGTTTCTATAAAATGTCCTTAAAAAAAGTATTTCTATATAATGTAATCTTTATTCAATTGATAATAAACAAATAATCAAATTTAATTGAAAATAGTCAAAATAGAAAAATACACTTTAAACTCTAGGTAATTTATTCCGTAGACCTAAAGTCCATATTTATTTTTTTTGAACTTAGTACATTTATAACATAAAAGAAGTACACCTTTTACAAAAAAAAATACACATATTGACATACGGTAAATTTGATGTAAAAATCACCCTAAACTCTAATAAAACAATCGAAACTAACACGTATGGGGCTGCGGTGGGTTTTCGAGCCCAGCCCTATCAGTTACAAGGCCTATATTATTATCTTAAAACAGGCCCACCCATTTATATATTGGGCTGTTTGGCAACTTCTGAATAGGTAAGTGCTGAACCAGTAAGAACCAGTAAGAGGTCTGAACCATTAAGATCTAATATATTGCTTAACTATTCAGAGGCAAATGTCTGATCAATTCAGATAAGAGGTCTTAACCTTCAGACTCTGTATAATACTTAACCATTTAGAGGCAAACGTCTGAGCCATTGAGACATCTGAACCATTAAGAGGCTGAAACAAATCGTCTGAACCATTAAATGCTGAACCATTCAGACATCTGAACCATTAAGAGGCTGAAACAAATAGCCCCTATGTGTGCATTCAGGTCCATATATATTTGTGCCAACCCATTTCATGTTTTTAAGCTAACACTGCCTTGTGTGTTGTGAGTCGGTGGTAAATTATTTTGGGACACAAAAAAAAGAATAGTGATTCTGTTCTTCTAAGGTTTACGTATAATTTCTTGACCTTCTCACAAACGTTAGTGAGTTTAGAAATTAATGTTAGAAAAAGTCCATTTCACCCTAGATAATATGTCTAATGCTAATCTTGATCCCAATCTTAATCTCATAATCCTAATTTTAATTCTAATCTTAATTCCCTAATCGTAATCCTAATCATAATCCTAAACCTAAATCTAATTCTCTAATTCTAATCATAGGGCCTGTTTGGGAAGAACGTTAGAGATTAACTTTAGCGTTTTGGATTAAATTTTAACGGTGCAGATTATTTTGAAAACGCTAACGCTAAACGCTGCCCGTAGATAGCTTTTTCAAAACGCTAACACTAATCGCTAAAGCTATTCCCAAACAGGCTCATAATCATAATCCTAATTCTAATCTCCTACTCCTAATCATCTAATCTTAATCATAATCTCTAATCCTAATCCTCTCAACCTAATCAATTTTAATCATAATCTTAATTCTAATTTTAATCCTAATTCTAAACCTAATATACTAAGGAGTTCATATCAGCAAGATTCATATAATTGAAATAGACCTGAAGACCATGGAAGGAATTTGCCCATAAGAAAATTATTATTTTTTATTATTCACCAATTCCATAATTTTCATTCGTTTCAAACTAATTCATCCATTATCACAATTTGACCAACCATTTCACTAGGTTGCGAAAATCAACTTTTAGACTTTTCAGTTATGGTTCTTAGAACGGACTATTTTGGCTCTAAAATCAATTTTGATTACTCCGTATAATTCTTAGGCCATTTTATATTGAAATTTTAAAACTATTATTTTCTATATACTCTGTATGAGTTATTTTCAAAAACCAGCCCAATCAAAACCTCACGCGCACAGTAGTGTTTGTTCAAGTCTTGTATCAAGGATAATTAGCTATTAATATTTAAATGTATTATTTGAATATATTCTTGTGTATATCCCTATAACTACCAATCCAGTAGCTAAAGTATGGGAACTGATGTGCTATAGTTTAGGATCAGCTCCTGACTCTTCTAACGGAGCTTCTGTATAAATTTGTGTATTCTCTCATGAATTGAATCATCAATTTGCATTCTTCTAAACCCTTTATATGGTATCAGAGCTACTGCTTTAAACAGATTTTTTTTCCTTTTCGCTGCACTCCAATTTCTCTTTTCCGGCTTTGCACTCATTGCCGATGACAACATCTCAGTCCGGCTCCGCGGTATCAGGTTCGTCTTCTGCATCGGACCTCATCCGCATGTCCGCCTCCAAACACTTTCCAATTAAATTAACCAAGACAAATTTTCTCGTATGGCGTCGTCAGGTACAAACCACTCTTGTTGGTTTGGATCTTGTTGGTTATATTGATGGCTCAATCAAATCTCCTTCGCCGTTCCTGGACGGCGCTCATACGCAGACCAACCCTGCATATACCGCTTGGTATCGTCAGGATGCTATCCTCCTCAGTGCACTCCTCGGTAGTTGTACTGAGGCCGTCCAGCCGTTGATATCGCTTGCCGATACTTCCGCTGATGCGTGGTCTCGCTTGAACAACAGTCTTGCTAGCATGTCTCGTGG